TTGGTAGCTCCCAGATGAATTTTCCCACAATTCCCTGCCGCGCCTGCGCACTCTGTCCATCACAAACTGGTTAGTTTGTACAATTATCATTTTGCCTTCATACCTGGCAGCAAACACATGCCTGCATGCCACGCCCATGCAAATCAAGTATCCGCATGAGCACTGAGTACAACTGTCATTCACTTTGTAGGCACGGTCATCGAGTACCACAGAGAAGCTGCCGTCCTAGATCCTCCTCTCTTCTCACCTCATACTTTTTCAGCCTAGCCAAAGATAGCTGCCTAGCCAAAGGCAGCTGCCTGCAGATACATTCACTGGCATATGTGGGGCATGATCCTGTAAGTGCTGATTGAACACCGCTACATCTGCCTTTGTGGAGGAGAAAAGTACCCTATTGTTGTCTGTCGGTAATCAGAGCCCAGTGTCGCTGTCTCATTGACGTGGCCAGAGAAATGTGGCAATATCGCAGGTTTGCAGAGACAATATCAAGGATCTGGAACTATGGTTTCTCAATGCACAACAAACTTACGATGTTGAAAGAAGAAAAGTCAGGAGCTACAACAGTCTTGTCTATCTCTAGTGCCGCCATGATTCAAACTGAAATGGTACTCCCGGTCAACGTATAAATCTTCTACGGACCTAAAGTTGAAATGCATCGTAGGAAGGACCCATTGTCAGCTATAGTTTTCTACAGCTCCAAATATTTGTGTCTGGCTGTTACAACAGACTCGGGAAGTGTTGTCCCCTGCAGTAGCTGTCCCCTGTCGTAACGTTTTTTGCCGTTCTTGGAGCCGTGAAGATACTGTTATAAAATTCAGGGTGACAAGGACACTGGCTCTGCGATGAGCAATAAACGTATTCCAGAGCATATGGAGTTTTACGTATTTTTCAAAGTTAACAAATGCTTCTACTGCTGCAGTCTCTTAGGAATTGTTGCACGTGGCAATGAGATACCGCAAGTTCCTCCATATCAATTCAAATAACATCAATATGATGTCTGGCTTCCCTCTTCCACCACCTCGGGGTGTGTGTGAGTAGTAAAAGCACAAATGCATATAATGGACATGTTCTGGTCCTTCAGTAGAAAACCGCACCATTGACAGACATGGTAACATTTGTAATAACAGTGGCACCACTGCAATAATCTTTATCATGTCTGGTGTCAGTTCTGCTCCTCCATACAGGTGACATAAATGTCCCAAGGAAAGCATCAGCATGTGTCTGGTACTTAGCTACTTCATCATCAGAGAGGCCGACTTTTGAAGTACCATTTTTGTCTCCATGTGCTTGCGTCTTATCGCTTTCATGTGCATGGGTCTTATTGCCTTCATGTGCTCGGGTCTCATCGTCTTCATATGCTTCAAGTGTCTTTCTTGGGTTGGCATCATCCCATGTGGTAGTATAGCCTAGTTTCCATATCAAATTCACTTGTAGTGGATGAAGTAATTTGTGATACGTCTCTTAGTTGTGTTGGTAGAGTATTTGCCATTGGTTGAGTTGAAACAACTCCTTGTAGAATGGGCATAAATGAGCCTTCGAAAAATTCTGGAGGACATATTGTTACTGCCATATAGCATCTGTCTTATTTAAAGATATTGGGTATTTTAAAGATCCATTAGTCTCAAGGTCAATGAATGGCGGTTTTGCTCTGGACTTCACAGCTGTCAGCCATTAGGCCACGAAAGATGGAGTAGGTGTGTACAATTGACTGCACCAATGGTAGTTTCTTTCCAGCACGGTCCACAATTCTGTTCCGTGGCAGACTTCACCTGGAACATGTGTTTACACGTACGCACTCAGTCTGTTGGTGGCGGGGTTGATTACAGCTTGTCCATGAGTGCAGGCGAGTATACTTTCAATTTTTAAGATGGTAACTATTTTCAACATATTTTGCGATTATTCTCTCTCCTGAGAAGACCTATATCCTTGTGTCTGAGCTGTGCTGAAGTCATTCGTATCTTGTTGTAAATACATGCTGGGAGGGGTCTGGTATTATCCCATTCTAGGTAGCCACACAACCACCTCACCAACCAACCCCAAGTTAGACACCTTTCCGCCCGGCCGTGACAGCCACTTGACTATATTATTATCCAGCCAGAAATGTCTGCTAACAACTCGCCCCCCGGCCGTGCTGGCTCGACTTTCCACAAAGGAATCGTGACGGGATATAAAGGTGTGGCCAATGACCAGTATACGTCGAGTTACAGAGTTAGAGGGACACCACCCTTCGACCATGTTTGTTGTCAAAACAAGGAAAATAACTCCTTGGACAAACAACCAAAACAAGTCAGACCAACGACTTACTTTCAACGTAGGAAGAAAACAGGCTGAAAGACAATTTTTAAGATTAAGACTATTACACTGGTCTATCATTAGAGATATGGTTGGTGTGATGACAAAGACAATTTTATTGTTAACAAATGCAAAAAAAAATTTATGAATAAGCGATTTGCCTGCTCCAGTTGGCCACCGCAAAAAAAACATCTCTTTTATCTTGTAAACACCGTATAACCTCTAACTGTCCTTGTTTGAATGAATCATACTTAAGATGCTGCTTGTTAAGCAACTGATACTTTTGCATTTTTCCTGAATCTATTGACACAGGTTCACTAAGTGTGTTTGTTAACGTAAACGAAACCTCATCTGTACTCGATTTTTTTTAGTTCTACAGTTGTTTTAGTCTGACAATCAAATTTAGAATTCTGAGCATCACCTGTTGTACAATTTCCCGCTTGTACACTGATTTGCTCCTCTATCCGTGTGTGGATACAGCCTTCAGCCATGGGAAATGGTCCTTGTTCCTTGTTTTTGCGTGCGCCTCCAGTTTCATCTTGGCTGACTTTGCCATGTGGAAGACTAGTGGTCAATGTCACGATATTGACGCTGCTTCTGGGCGGCTCTTATTCCTACATGCCGGTCGGTAGTAATGCAAACAATGTTCATACCCTCGTTTTGCAGTAATTCCAGTGACGTAAAGAAGCCCTTCTTCTCCATCTCCTGGGAACTGGTGGTTTCAGATAATTCCACAAGTTGAAAGTCAACAATGTACTTGCTTTATTCCTCCATAAACGTGTAGCTGCAGTATTTTGCATTATACCCTGGAGAATCACATCTCCGGTCCCCTAACAGTGACCTTGTAGAGAATGTAAGCATTACAGATGGCAAGGCTAAACAGATAGGAAAATGCCTTCTTCCACCTTTTAAAGGTGCGCCTCCGCTCCTAAAGCTCAGAAAGTACGCCACCATTTGATCCGATGTATCCACGGCGCCCATGAACTTGTTATACTGGTTGATACACTCGGGCTTCTTCTTTACCTCTCCGTCACGGCTATGCTTACCAGTGTCAACCAGCTTTGCACTGAGTGCGGTGGTCAGTATCTCTTTACGTCCCTCCTGTCCTTGTATTTCATGGCCAGGAAGGTGCCATTGATCAAGCAGAACTTCTGTTATCGGGTGCTCACAGTGGCATCTTTAAAAGCATTTGGAATCCCCTTCCTATTCCTCATGGTTTCACAGGTGGTGGTCTTCACATCTGACAGGTCCAAGAATAACTGTGGTGAGGTATAATAGTTGTCACAGTACAAGGTTCTACCTGACTGGATGTAGGGCTCGTGAGCCGGGAGACGATGTCGTGTGTGAGATCTTTTGGGGATGGCACAAAAACAGTTTTAGGGAGGCTACTGGCCACGCAATAGGGTGTGGGTGTGGTGAGGTCCACCCCCCCCCCCCAAAAAAACAAACACTGAAGGTGAAATGTTTGCGCGATGTCAGAAAAGTTGGTAAGGGTACCACCAGCCATGACAATCGCTGCAGGGAGAATATTTCCCTCAAAAGAAGTGCCGTCACCAACGTGGAGTTGAGAATGCCACAGTGGGACCTAGGACAGGTATACTTTAACGTGAGTGCACATCCGGTGAGAAACTTTTGTATACCATCAACTCTGCGCCACATTCGGAACAACTCTTGTTTTTGAAAAGCTCGACAATTTTCTCATAGCGAACAATGTAGTAGTCCTGTTGACTGCTGCTTGATGCACGCGGACTACTGGCAGTTGAGCCAGCATCATTGTCAGTTGATTGTTTTCAACTGTCTTGACAACTTAGCATTGAGGCTCCTGAATGTAAACAGTACTTCTTATAATTATGGCCTAAAATGGTACGATAGGAGCCATGAAGTCAACAAAAACTCAAGATCCCCTGTTCTGGAAGGATTTCTCTAGGTCCTTGATCATTCTGAGGAAAAAGGCTGGTTCAAAATTTAAAATTGGTGTGGTTCAAAAATGAAGGATGCCTAGTACTCTTGCACTAGATGGCATGCTGATAAAACAATAATTCTTGCACCCTGAAAAAAGTACTCATTTGAATCAAATGGACAATATATCAATCACTTTTTATGTGGTATGTTTTATTTAGCACAGAATAATCATAAGCACAGAGTAAAAGAACCTGCAAACTACAAAAAAAGAAAATTCAGAAATGCCTTTCAAATTCTAGTAGTGTAAATGTACAAATGTATACTTAAAAGTTTGATGTACAGATGTACATATGTGTGTTGTGTATTGAGCATATAATTAATACTTTTTATAAAATGTAGAATACATACCTGGGTGTTTTACTTTTGAGTCAAGCAAATATGTCACTTCCCGTGCTTGGGTTCTTACTTCCTCATCAACTTGCTTCAAGATTCGCTGATATTTAGGATCATACCAGTGGTTTGGAAAGATGTTTGTAGTAATCCAAACCCTTCTTGCGGCAAAGTTGACAAAGCCGCCCTTGATTGGTACACGCAACGGATAGCGGTCAACCATATTCAAAAAGGTTGGCCGGGGGATGTCGCCGTGGAAGTCGTTTAAAACAACATCACTTTGACCCATGTATCCGTCGAACCAGCCCCCTTCCGGTTTGTAGTAGGTGGTTGTGTCATCTGGCAGGTATTCCCGTACCAACCTACTCTTGCCACATCCCGGCGGCCCAACGAAGACGAAACAGCGGGTCAGGAAGTCACGGGCCGGCTGCAGGCGGGCGTACGAGACATAGGCCTCTAGACCGCGGTGATGGCATTTCTTCCGCCAGTGCAGACAGGTCGCCGTCATTTTCCTGTAGGAAATTGGTGGCGGCCGTCAGGTCGTTCCTCTGCCCCTGTCTGATGGGATGTCCCATCCGCACGACGACGTTGCCATCTTTCGAGCAGTACCGCTCGTTGTCATGGTCGTTACCGACGGCCTTTTCCACGTGGCATCTGTCGCCTAGGTGCCCTTTCACCTGCGGGGTACGAACCTTCCTGGAAAAGTTGACGTAGCCCTGTAGGTGGGGTGTCCCGGTGGTCGGGGACACCTCCGCACCTACGACCATGAACTTGATTGCCGCGGGTCGATGTTTCGCAAGTCGCAAGCGTGCCAGGTCGTCATCGCCATAATTATTCAACGTGAAGGACCACCTGCAAGCAGGGGCCTCTCTCCTGTTGGGGGCGGCCATGTTGTTAAGTGAATTTGCATATGAAACTACAAATGTATACTTAAAAGTTTGATGTACATATGTGTGTTGTGTATTGAGCATATAATTAATACTTTTTATAAAATGTAGAATACATACCTGGGTGTTTTACTTTTAAGTCAAGCAAATATGTCACTTCCCGTGCTTGGGTTCTGGCCTTGCCGAGGTCTTGGGTTCTTGCCTCCTCATCAACTTGCTTCAAGATTCGCTGATATTTAGGATCATACCATAAACCAGTCTGCATAGATGCTGTTTTTAAACTTACATGTCTGTTCTTGTAGATGGGAGTCTGGTGCATCCACCCGGTGAATTCTTAATTTCATTGTAAATGTTACTGTCAAAATCTGAGAAGGAACTGCGCACAGATGATCTACATGTATGTGAAAAGTTTTCAAATTTTCCTCAGTTGTTATTACTTGTAAGACATCCTGTTTTTCGATACATTGAACAAGACTAAGAGGATGTTGGTTACATACTGCTTTGAGAATTTTTTAGACTGTAATGGTCCAGATCCTGAACCAATTTTCTCACAGTATGTGTTTTTAGTTTTAGTTTAAAACACATTTCTACAATGGGCTATCCCAGAATAGATATCTCTCTCTCTCACAGTCTAAATTTGCATCAATATCACACGAAGAGCCAGAAGAAGTTTCAGAGACAACAAAAACCTTTGACCTGTCCCTTTGTCCAGACTTTTTCCTTTGCTCTGATTGTACTACTACTACAGACTCTTCACTCTCAGAACATACCTGCTCACTAATTTGAAGATGGTTACTTGTATCTCATGATAGTCGACATCATTTCAAAATCTTTCAGAATAGATTACTAAATCTGTATCAGAATCCGAAGTAAAAATGTTGGGTTCATCTCTGCTGTTTTTTGTTTCTTCATTTGCTTGATTTACTTCTGTCTCTGACATAGTAGTATCTATTAAGTTTGATGGCAGATTATCGCCATGGCCTTGTTTGAATTTTTCTGTTATTAACTAACACTTTAAAACATCCGTTTTTCTATACAGTTTACCAAACTTAAGGAATACTGGTTACACATAGCCTTTAGATATCTTACACTGAAGCACTCAAGCTTCTGATACAAATCCCTTGCACTGGTACACTAGATATGTCTTACATGTACAGGGCTCCATGCCAGGGGGTCTCACTTCAAATCCTGAAGTCCTCACTACTGTAGTCCGAAAATCGTTTTCCTCCATGCTAAAAATTCTTTGCAAAATTGGTTGAAAGAAAAATGGTTTTGGAAGGCCTTGTGTTCCAGGAATTTCTCTTGCTTGGCCTTCATATGTTCCTTGTGCAGCAGGTGAGCTTTGACAAGGGCCAGGCTGAACATGTGGAATAACGCCTTTTTCCACCACTTGACGGTGCGGCGTCAGAAGCAGAGGTATGCTACCATATCTGGTCCGACGTGTCCACAGGTCATTGGTTGTACAGGTGGATACACTCCGGTTTGTATATCAGTTCCCCTGGGTGGCGTTTCTTACTCGTGGAGACAGGCCTAGCTCTATGTGCTGACGTCAGCATCCTCACGTCTCGTCTGTCCCTATATGTTATAGCGAGGAGTCACTCATTCGCTATGCACACTTTCTCTTGTGGTGTTGTGAGCTTTGCATTCTTGAATTCATTTGGAACCACAGTGTGGGAACAATAAACTACTATGTACATATAAAAAACATTCGATGTTGCTACTGCTTTGTTTAACTATATTAAAGAGGTTTATTATCAACCTTCATCACTCCTTACATGTAGATATTGTATTACACATCCAGTGCAATAAATCTTGGTACATGTATGTATATGGGGTAAATCTGGTCAACAAACTGGTCATCTCTAGTAATGTCTCTAGTTTGACTCCTCAGGACTTAACTTACAGTTTCAGCCAGACTCTTGTATTTCTTTTGAGCATGTTGTTGTCTCTCCCTTTTATCCAGGTCTTCAATGGTTGTTTTGGGAGCCTGTCTTGCCTCTTGCTGGAATTTCTTGTAAAGCTGTGGCTCCTCCTCCTTGATTCTCTTGTACTCCTGACTGGCTGCCTTGAATCAGCCTTCCCGCTTGTTCCTGTGGTGTCAGTCACAAGTACATGTAATTCAAATTATGGGTACTCTGTCACGGCAGCTCGCCACGGCTGGGATGGTATGATTATCGCTTATATAGACAGGAAGTATACCTTGAGGTACGGAGGTACTACCTTACACTGATAACAAGCGATGGATCATTCCCGTGATTATATGCTTATAAGCTATAATCGTGGTCGTATCGGGTGGTGTTGGAACCCCTTTGCGGTTTCGCATCGTGCCACAGGCATTCATCCCAGCATCCGACAGGTGCAGAAACAACTGAGGGGATGTATAATAGTTGTCACAATAGAGAGTGTGCCCTTTCTGGAGGTAGGGCTCCACCAGCTGACAATAGTAGCCATTGCTGCTTTCACAGAGCTGATAGGCCTTAAGTCAATACTTCATCAAACATACCTTAATCGATGCAGATCAGCTGTCCCGGGTACCACGTTGACTTGAACCTGCCCACCAAGGTGTCATAAATAAGTCTCAGCTTGTGCATGCCATTTTGCAAGGCCAAGTTCAGCAATGACATGCTTCGTTCTGCTGGGTTCATCCAGCTGCCACGGGGAGCGTATGTTACAGCTATCAATACATCTAAGTCCAGTGCAATGAACATCACAAGGAGTGTAATCTGAACTGATTTGAATGTTACTCTGTGATCAGGCCCCCCGTCTGAGTACATCAGGAGTATTGGCACATCGAGAATCACGTCGTCTGAACTAGCAAATTTTCTTAGTACTTTGTTTCCGCTGCATGTCTTGATGAATGATGATGATGAATGGTTTATTGACATAAAATCCATCGCAGCCCGCAGGCTGAATTGCGGATTCCGATTACACATAGGGCTCAATTGACAATAAAACAATGGGTCAATTATCCTATATATAAGTATAAAAAGAAATAACGTTGATGGATAAAATTTAGCATTTATACAATAATAGGTTTATCAGACGGTATATTAAAAGCTTAATCCTTAAAAACATTAACTATTTGATTAAGTATTTAAAAGGCGAACAATGTAAGCTATTGGGGAGTTCCTGAGTCGTTCAGTCCTACATTTAATTGGTCGATACTTGTCTCTGTTTCTGGTTGTTCTGTCGTGGTAGTCCGAACCCTTTGGTGGCAGCATTGACGGTGTGTGGGATTCTAAATGAGTCCCGAACTTGAGACACAGCTTCTGCCGGCGGTCTGAGAGCAACGGAAGGTTTAAGTCTGTCCTGCCTTGCTCGTAGCTAGTGAAACGCCTTCCCTGTATTGTCCGAACTGCTCTCCAACATGTCTTGTTGGAGAAGATGGTTGGAAGACCTTTTCCTTTACTGTTACCCACAGCTTTCCCCTAAAGGACTCTTCCGGCCTTTCTTGTATATCTGCCAGTGACACAACTGATGGTGAAAGTCCACCCACATGCCAGTTATGGTCAAATGCAGCAAGTACACATAGTGTAGTGAAGTCATAATAATCGTAATCCGTGCACTTAAAGAATCGCTACTCAGGGGATGGGGTGTTACATTTCTGCCGGTGCGTCTTAAGATTCCTCTTCTCGGCAAAGGCTTTTTTGTGTGTGCAAAGGCTTTGCTGCACACAGCAAATCCTTTACATGACTCGTAAACTACATAATGTGGATATTCTTTGTGATGTCACCCCTGATACTTTTGTAGTATATGCAGTTCGCGTGATCCAAAAGATATAAACCATCCTGCACGAAATATTCAGGGTAATGTCTCTCAACAAGACGCCTGTGTGCCCAAAAACAACTCGGCTCTAAAATAGGGTAAAAATTGAGCCAACCTGGCGTTGTATGGTACGCGAGGGGGTCATACACTCTTTCCAAGGGTTCACTTTGGGCTGAAGTGCACTCTCAGTTTCTCCAACATTGGCAACACCATACCAGCTGTGGGTTTCTGTTCACTGCTCATGGCAGTCGTCATCTTGTACAGTAACCTGCAACCTGCAGAAATGTCTCCATCTTCTCCATGTCACTGTCTTAGGCTTTCTGTAGTTTCTTGAACTCACCCTTCTTGATCCTGTCATCTAGGGTGGCTGAGACGACGGCAGGGTATTGCTGGATAAATCGGTCAACCATTAGGTATGTTGAGTTCAACCTTGTCTTGCAGTCCAAGATGAGGGAGTTGCAAGGAAGTCCCAGGGCCTGCTGCTTCTCTTTCAACACTATCTTACATGTACGACTTCCTGAAGTATGTTATAACAGGCCTGATGATTCCGAGAAGGGCTGGCGCTCCTCTTGCACTCAGCATCCTTTAGGCTTCGAGGTTCAAGTTGTGCGTAAAACACCCCAGCGAAATGCCAGTTCCAGACATACTGGTGGCGTTGATTATGGCCCGGGCGTTGTCTATTGTCATCGCTCTCACCTTCCCTTCCAGCTGAAAGTCTTTGAGGCAGTCTTTAATTTTCACTGTAATGTTCTCCCCAGTTTGTCGCACCTCTCCTTGTTTGTTTGAAATACGGGGGGCCCCTTCATTTTTGGAAGTGAACGGGGAGTGGGACTTGTAAGGGCAAATACCTAGAATAATGCAGTGTGTCAGTAGTAAAATAATGCCCAGGATCAGAAAAATAGTCATACTGAGGGCAACAACAAAAACAATAACTGTGAAAGTTTTTCGCTCTCCTAGGTACTAAGTGCAATGTACTAAGTTGATCATTACAATACTACAAGAGGTATAAATATTAAAAGTGTGCAATCCAGCATAAGCTTTTCCAATGTATTCTAATGCTCTAAATACATGTATCACACTAGGTGGTGACTTTCATTTTCCTGTAATATCATGCAGATACATGTGTTTTGGATGATGTTTTGGACATATCAGCGATATCCACACTTTTCTTCATAATGAATGCACCGTCTGATCGCCGTTTCACATTCTCAGGTTTATACTGTTCTACCACAGCTCTT